AAGAGACAAACATACAAGAACGAAGCATGCCTTGGAGATGACAGTGCAGAGACGTGAAATCAAGAGGCGGGAAGTGCATATTGATTTTTTAGATGTAGCCCAAGCTCTTGGTTCCTTTTCCAACACCCGCGTAAGGCACTGGTATAGTTGCTTTTAAAACATTTTATTAGGAGGACTTGAGTATATAAAAGACAGCTTCCCCAAAGAGGAATAGAAATCTACCTCTGAACGGAAGCTGAAAAGTTAAGATTTTTAAGTGTAGCCTCTTAGCAACAACAGGGGTGCTGCTGTGTTGGTCATTCGTGTGCCAAGTTCAGGTCCCTTAAAGTGTTTAGTCTCTTTTGGAATTGGCCTCCTGTTTCCAGAAGTCTCTTACCACTAGGATTTCAGTTCTAATAAAAACGCCTGACCAACTTCTACTGTCTGAGACTGAGGGGTTGGATTCCATCCACTCTGCAAAGAGCCCTGATTTAGGGAAAGATCCTTGGCTGCCATTTCATAAACAGACTTTTGCTGTGAATTTCTGATGTGCTGTGTTCCTAGGCCCAGACTCCTTGGCAGGACTGGGAAGAAAGCAGCAGTTCTTTCCTAAGTCTACACTGATGACTAAGCTCGTCTCATGAAGGGCAGATGGACACAGACGCAGGAGGCGTTGTTGCTTCATCCTGAAAACAACATCAAAATTGTCTTCAGCAGAACATGACCCTCCTCTTTGCAAGGAGGTTCAGTATTAGCAAATACAGCTCAGACCCCAAACTCAAATGGCTTCTCCGTCGTATCACATAATGCTAAGGAAAAAGCCAACTGCAGATGAAGCCCTTATTAGAGTAAATGGTTTCACGCTGTACAAAATATCACACTAGTTCATTTCCTTTCTTTGAAGATAGGGAAGAAATTAATATCTTCCTTCAATACAGGAGAACACTGGTACAAAGAGGTTAAATCGTTCGCAAAGCCATACCAGGAGAGCTAGGAAATGGAAAAATCGATTCTTGTCTGTCATTTACCTCCCAATGAAAGTTTCAGTGCTCTTGGTTTTTAGTCTTTTCGTTTATTTTAAAGTATAAGAAGAATCAAAATTAAGCTTTTAAAAGATACATCATCAAAGTAGAAAAGCATCTCATTGGATTTGTTAATAATTATACCAACACAAATTAAAATAACTATGACATAATAGGCACTAAATTAAAAATAAATGGTTAGAAATAAATGTAAGTAATCTTCTTCAATGAGTAATAGGGTACAGTTTAATATGTGATATAATTAATGTTGGTGGTCTTGGCAACTGGAAAAGCCTTTCTAAAGAAATCTAATAAGATAAAGCAGAAGTCCTTTGAATTATATTACACTTGATTTAGTAATATAAATTAAAGTATTTATTCTAAGGAGGTAATTTTAAAAAAAATTGTTTTTCTGTAAATATATTTGTTATAATGCTAAATACTAGAAAATATCTAATACTTATTGAGGGACAAATGGTTTGAAAATGTAGTGTGAAAACATAATATAAACCTAAATAGATGAAAAGCTAAAAACGAAAGTTATTATCAATGGAAAGTTATATACATATATTAGGTTAGTAAATAGAAAACAAAATATGTATAAAGACAATTATACCATACTGAATCAAATTTGTTTAATCACACTTGTTTGTGCACAAGGATTTATGAATTCAAGAAATATATTACAAATCCTTATGCCTTTATTAGTATATTAATTATATATTAATAATCATGGAATAAAATCTGGAGATATTATTGGCACATGTTGCCTATAAGTTATGTAAATAGTCAATTTAAATATGATCTTAGATTTCTCAATAAACAATTTAGACAGAAATAAATGTAATTTATATTAGATTGATTTGAGTACTGAAGTCAGAGTCCGATTGGTTGGTCAAACTCTGATGATCCTCACACAGAAATAATTCACGAAGCCCCCAACTTCAACCTTCTTATTCCAATAATGAAAAAAGTTACAGGAATCCCGACTGACGTCCACTGGCTGGGTTTTCTCTGCTTTGCACAGAACACCTTTTAGACGTCAGTTTCTCACACCAAAACAAGAAGCAGAGGGGAAAATCGGAACAGAAAGTGCTTCCTGTTCTAAGCCTTTTCATTTGTAGAAACAAATAACAACTCTGAGTTTACCCTTATGCAAAATCTTCCTTCAAGAGAAATTTGTTTTGTCTTCCCACTTCCTTGCCACTTCCTTGCCTTCTTTGCACTTCTAGTGTGCAGTTTTTTGGACTTAATGAAAGTTTAAAAGAAGTTACAGTGCTAATGTATCCATCTGAGCGCATGAAGGCTGTATGTGGGACTTGCAATCGAAGATGGCCGAGGGTCCTTGAACAAAGCTTAGGTGAATTCTGAAAAGAGCTAATACACATTTTGAGTTACCATGGACAGATCTCATTAGAGAAAAGTCTCCATGAAATGGTTCTTATAAAGCACAGAAGTAAAAAAGAGAGTAGGAATTTGAGAATTTGAATTCATCAGGCACGTGGTTAAAAATCTGATAGTTTTCCTTCCTATAAACAAATACAGCAACATACCATGAAAGCAGAGGTGGAAGCACCCTGAACTATCAGATATCTTCCTTTGCAATGGAGATCAAAATCAGCCCATCTACTGTAGAAATCCATTTTTACAAAATGGATATATTTGAGGGGTAAAACATCTTTCTAAAGCCCAAAGGCTTACTGCACATATAAGACTGTCACATTGAGAGATAGCGAAAAGGTCCAAAAATCTTCTTAAAATGCATCTCACAGTAACATTTCTTTCCATTACTGTTTCTTGAGCGGGCCAAATGTGCTTACAAGGTCACTTTGTTTCCACTTCAGGACTTGTCAGGAAAAATCCTACAAATTGGGGGCTGGGGATTTAGCTCAGCGGCACAGCGCCTGCCTGGCAAATGCAAGGTCATGAGTTCGATTCCCGGGACCGGAAAAAAACAAAACAAAAAATCCTACAAGTCATTTCCATTATACAAATGACCAAACTAAAGCTTAGGGAGATCCAGTATCTTTCCCAAGGAGACAAAGTATTAAGTGATAGACCCAAAGTGAAGCTCATATTTTTCTCACAGGTTATCTGGTGTCCTGAGATTATATATAAAAGTTTTGGCTAATAAGAGATAACAAGAGTAGCTGAATAAGGCTAGCACAAAAGCATCTCTGAAGTAGCAAAAGTCAACAGATAGTTTAAAAAGGGATGAAACACAGACGAGAGCTACACACACAAACACACACCCACACACACACGGGTGCATGCACACACAGCAGTCTAATACTAAGTATGAGTATAGTTCTAGGTGCTTCTTCAGGGTGCTGTGACATTTCTTTGAGAGAGCTCACAGCAATGAGTCATTTCAGAGCGGTGGTCCTAGGTCACTGTGAATGACAGTTCATGTATTCCACTTAACATATCGGAGGGGAACCATGTCATGCCTTCCCTTTTTCACTAAAGATATCAAAGTATTTGGAATACTTTGATATTTGGAATTAGTATTTGGAATATGTGCTAGTCATAAGCTCTTGTTTTCTATATTTTTCTACTATATATAATTGTTCCTTCCAGAGCAAAAGCACACTATGGTGTTTGGCTATCTGTTTTATACACACCACGTAGTGGTACATTTCTTATACCATTGTAGTGCTTGTGTAATAGGTATGTAAGTCTAGAAGTCTAAATACTAAATGAAACTCTGGCTCTGACACTAATATCAGAACATAAGTCTCTGTCCTCCTCTCCATTTTTTCGTATTCTTACTTTATAGGTGGATGTTAAGCAAATGACTTTAAGATACATATATTTTTTCCAACTTTAATAGTATATGGCTTTATAATGATGCTATCACATGTCTGAGTTGCTTTTGAAAGACAAGTGAAGTAAAATTGAAGTTAAAAGATGCAAAACAATGTTTAATCTACAAGCCCCAGCATTACAATGAGCTAGAGATGTCAGGTTATAAGATGATACCAACCAAGCTCATTTGAACTTTAGAAATCTACGGAGTTCTGACTCCCAGTACATCACATTCAAAGCTTATTTAAGGTTGGGATATCTTGTTACCAGGGGCCAAACCATGGCTCCTTTGTAGATTTGCAAAAAAAAATGTGCTCCTTTCCCCCATTAACTTGCTAGGCAGACCAAAATCACACAGAAAGATCACAAAGAAATGCTCTTCTTTTTTTTTTTTTTTTTTTTTTTTTGTTTTTCTCCGGTACCGGGGACCGAACTCACGACCTTGCGCTTGCCAGGCAGGCGCTTTTGCCGCTGAGCTAAATCCCCAGCCCGATCACAAAGAAATATATTTTAAATTTTAAATATTTGCAGTTATTCTTCAACTTCCTCTATCAAAGCATAGCTCAATGGATTAAACAGCCCTACAAATAAGCTAGGATAATATGACTGGTAATTTTAGCTCAAGCAGCACTCCTATTAATTTCTCCTTAAGGTGCTCTGTAATAAAGGGCTTTTTGCCTCATGGAAATCTTGCTAGGTAAGGAGGTTACTTATGAAATGTTCTAGACAAGACTGACCAAAAGTCCCAGAGAAAGTGATAAGACAGAAGTCAGGTCTTCCAGGCGTTTGGAAGAGTACTGACAAGTCCAGAGATCTGCAACATTTTGCTTAAAAATACTTGGATTTCAAATGCAGGGTGAAACTGAACAAGAGGTGTGACTCTGCTCCTTGGAAGCCTTTGGATTCCGAGAGAGGAACATGTCAGCTTGTAGATACTGTACGTGCTTGAAAGCCATAGGTTGGTGATCTTCCCAGCAGGTTCACTTACAGAAAGGAGCCCTACCCCAATGCACTTTTCAACTTCCTATGAACTGGAAATGGAGGCTGAAATTATGATATGCCAACTTACACACAGACACACCTTTTGAAGCCTGGTTAGGAAGAAAGGTCAGCTGACTACACTCATTCTGGAGTGCCTGGCACTTGCCCAAGGGAGACAAAGTACTTGAGGAGAAACGCGGAAGAACTTACAATGTAGCAGGGCTCGCAGTAGGCTTTCTTCTCCACAGCATAGAAAGGCTGCCCTCGGAGCTTGTTGCTGCAGATGATGCAGGTAAAACAGTCCACGTGGAAGACCTGATCCATGGCGGTGCAGCCCGTGCCTTCTCCAACTACATTTTCCCCACAGCGAGCACAGCGGCCTGAGAGAAAAAAGGGGGGTGCTTATTAGAAGAAACAAAGAAATTCTTCGCTCTTCCTAAAGAAGCCAACCTGGGAGAGGCAGCAGATGGATTCATACGGTCAGCAGCAGCGGCCATAGAGTCACCTGAGCAATATCACCATACAGACACCACTTGGCTTTGTAAAGCCAGAGTGATAGGATTTTATTTATTTATTTATTTATTTATTTA